CAGGCAAAGCGTATTTTGAACTTGAATTAATCAAATCCAGTCTTCTGTCATGAGGTAATAGACGAACACTCAGTGCTTGCGACAAGATGTCAGTTCAAATCCTAGCTGTGCCATTCTGTGAATTTTAAAAATTTTGTCTCTGTATGACTCTGACTTGTCTAGGCGAGTTGAATGAAAGGAGTATTATAGGATCTGTTGTTTTTCTGACTTGAGTCTTTTGTGAGCATAAAGCCTTGAAAGCCCATCCGTGTTGTGGCATTCATCAACATGTCTTGTGATTTTTCAAGCTGTTGCATAGGCTTGTTACAGTTTATCTGTTAGTGAACACTCAGGTTGCCCCTTTCAGCAGCTGTGAGTGCTGTTGCCGTGAACATGAGGATACAAATATCAGTGTGAGTCCCTGTGTTTAATTCTTTGTGGTATGCTCCCAGAAGTGGGCCTACTTCACCATGTTTGAGTCTTTGAAGTGTTCTCCAGCATTTGTGTTCTCATGAATAACATCTTCTAGTCTTAGAACAACAATCACGCTATTTACTAAGAATATATATGTACTCTAGCTACACATATATTTTCTAAAGGCTCAGTCTTTGCATTGACTTAATCAATGCTTCCCCAAGTGTTTCTTATGGCTAGTTTGGCAAGAAAGGATTCTATGAAATAAAAAATAAATAAATAAATAAATAAATAAAATGCTACATCCTCCCTTAAAGATTCAGAATACATATTTACATGAAAAGTCTAGAATATACATATGTTTTTAAATGTATGTTTTAAGATCTAAAAAGATCTGTCACTTTGCTATCCCTAAAGAAAAAGTTAGGGTAGAAAGCCTTTTACATTCAGCATTCAAGGCCTGTCTGAGATTAGCATTATATCCAAAGCTTTGATTTTCTAAGTCCAAAGAAGCATAAAAGTGGAAATAAAATACATGCCGGTACATATTCTACATAAATTTACATAATTCAAGCCAATGCTTGAGAGCATATTGCAAGAGAGGAGACTGCTAATGGAGATGTTTTCTCCTGAGGATTTTAAACATATCCTAAGGTTGGCTTATCATGTGTTCTGAGCCGTATACTTTGATTAGTTTTATGCTGTGCAAATTATGTCTTTCCAAGCTGTCCAAAGTCATTATAATGTAAAGTTTTGACTCATGTGGTTTATTCTCAGTCAAAACAACCAAATTCCGTGTGATGCATTAAATTCTGGGCAGTTGATGAGAATGAGTTGTTCGGGAAATGATGCTGGAAATATGCAATTGTATTGCTGCCTCGACGTCTTTAATCAGGAAAAGTCTGGTGGAGCAATTCTTTATAGGTGATAAGATAAAATGTGAGAATTGAAATAAATATAAAATTATATTTAGTAACTTGAAGTGTGGGAAATATTCTAAGCATAATAAATTAGACTTTATAAAAGGTTTTATTAATACAAATTTTTAAATGTATGTAAAAACAGGAGCTGGAGAGATGGCTCATTACTTAGGCGTACTTGCTGCTCTTTCAGAAGATCTGGGTTTTGTTTATAGCACCCATGTCAAACTTCCAAGCACATTCCAAATGACCTGCTACCTTTGTCTACCACTAACCAGATCCCAGCCCATTCCTTTTTCATAGCATTCCCATGAGGACTTTCACACCACCACCGGTGCCCGGACTTCCCAAAGCTCTTTTTCTCCCAATATTCTTAAGTCTTTCCCAGAAATACCTCTTGACCTCAGTCTTAAGTCATTGGTACTCTGTATGCATATGGTTTAAACCCTCCTCCTGATCCTCCTCCTCCTGAGCCTCCTCCTCCTCCTGAGCCTCCTCCTCTTGAGCCTCCTCCTCCAGAGCCTCCTTCTCTAGAGCCTCCTCCTCCTGAGCCTCCTCCTCCTGAGCCTCCTCCTCTAGAGCCTCCTACTCCTGAGCCTCCTCCTCCTGAGCCTCCTCCTCCTGAGCCTCCTCAAGTGTGTTCTACAAAGAGGAACTGATACTTTTTTTTTTTTTTTTTGGATTTTCGAGACAGGGTTTCTCTGTGGCTTTGGAGCCTGTCCTGGAACTCGCGGAACTGATACTTTAATCAGTGCATCCAGTTTAATGATACCAAAGATTGTGCATAAAATGCTCCTTCTATTATTTTTTATCTGTGTTTTTTTCAAAATAGTTCATGTCTTGTTTTTCTAAAAGAAAATTTTGCACAAGTACAATACATTTTGATCATAGCCATTCCAAATCCTGCCATGACCCCCACATCTCATTTTCCAATTCATGTTTTCTCTCCCCCCTCCCTCTCTCATATAGAGATAATTGAATATTATATAGAGATAGAAAATTTATATGTGTGTGTGTGTGTGTATGTATGTATTAGTGTGTCTGTACATACAGGAGTTTAGGGCTGAACATCAGAGTTTAAACAACATGGGGCCTGTATCTTCAGAAAACTGATTTTCTCCATGGGGAATCATAGCTTCCCCACTGAGGGGAGCAGGGGATACTGTGAGCCTTATCCCAACCACACTGGGATGTTGTTTGGTGTGCTGTTGTGGAGGTCTTGGCAGGCAGCTAGAGGTGTTGGGAGTTTATGGAAGCAGCATCCCTGCCACATCCAGCTGAAACTCTTTTGCAGCAGCCCTCCAGGTCCCTTGGCTCTTAGCATCTTTCCAGTCCCTCTTCATGAAGTCCCCTGAAGGGCTCATATTGCTATCAGAACTCCAGGGAATATCAGAAAGTAACTTAATCCCATTTGAACACTAGGATCAGTGGTTTGATCCTAGTGGAACACTAGGAACTTGTCCTGTTTGGGGTGTGATTTAACACAATGATTCCCACGTTAGAGGCTTGATCCCACTGTGGTGGTTTTGAGAGGCAATGGGAAAACTAAGGGGTGGAGCCCAGAGCAAAGTCACGAAATAGGTACTCTCCTTTGTCCTGCTTCCTGTCCCCCTCTCTCTCCTACCTTGATACTACCTGCCACAGTAAGATGCACTCACATTGACCTTTGAGAGAGCCTATGCCATTTGGCAATTTTGGTCTTTGGAGTTTCAGCCTCCAGACTGCTAACTTGTAGGGCCCTGGTCTCCCTTATTCCTGGGGTGCATTCGCGGGGACAGTTTATGATCAGCTAACTAAGCTTCCTGTGTGTTTCTGTGCTCTCCCTACCCCACCTGGTGGTTAGCTGCAGGGCATTTACTCCATTGTTAATATGGTAATTTCCCACCTGCCTGGGCGGAGATCCTTGTGCTGCAGTTAGGTAGATAAGGACTCCCCCAATGCTGAATAAACGGGCAGGGCAGGCGTTCGGCTGATCTCCTTTTGAATGACCCTTGTCTCTCTGTGTGTTCTTTTCAATCTCCAGGCCCTTGCTGGACTCGCGTTTGGTACAGTGGCGCGGGAACTGTACCGAGGGTGTAACACAAAATCGGGTGTTACACTAACTAAATAAACCTCTTTCCCTTGTGAGGCTCTTGCCTCAGGTATTTCATTATGTAGCAGAACACAGCCTGATATAATAGTGTATGGCAGGTCCAGTCCATAGAACACGGCAAATGCATTTTCATCCTTTGATAGGAGGGTCTAGTAACACTGAAAACATTGCTTAAACATTTTTTGTGATAAGATCTCTAAGACTTGAGATTATTCCAAAATCTCAAGCATATTTCTTAGGTTATTAATCCTGAGGTGGGGCAAAAATTTGGGGTATAATTCCAAGAGGTTGCATTCTCCCCATGGGTACCGTAAAAGTAGTGTGCCTTTTAAATTTCCTGGGGTGGCAATCAAAAATAACATCTGATCACTTTTCCCATATTTTATTATTATCCTCCTTCCGTGAGAATTATCCAGATCAAGCACTATGAAGATTCTGTACGAAAACACAGGCCCAGCCATCCAAAGACGATTCATGTTCACAACCCACAGAAACACGTGTGTGCATTCTCTCATTGAAGAAACTGCTCATCCCTAAGGATGGCATAGTCTGAAAAATCAGGTCTCCCCAGCTTATGTCACCACCCCACATCACGTGTTTAGCCTGCACACCAGAATGTCATACTAATAAATCCTCCGTTACACTCTGCATCCAGGCTCTGTGGAGCAAGACGCCAAGTCCTATTGGGTTAGACGCAAAGAGACCTGGATCTGCTTTCCACGGTGCACGTGGCGCTATGCACAGTTTAAGTTCACCCAGCTCTTTAATTGACCCCTAGTGCTAACAGCTTATGGGACACAGAGGCATCATATCTTGAGGATTTTAAATTAACGTGTCAGACTCCCCCAGGACCTGCACAGTGCTGTAATTACCACTAATTGGCATTACACATGATTAACAAGTGAAAACGTGGTTTTTCCGAAACTGTTTCTTTTCTCCCATGAATCCTAAGAACCTGACGGATGCATGCAAAGACGAGGAGGATTATTCCCAGCGAGTGTACGTTGGCGCAGCTCTGCAAGCCACGTCTATACATGCAAGAGAGGAGAGAGAAAGAAAATAATTAATGCTACAGATAATTGGTCCTCTGAGAGCTTACATCAATGTTAAGTGAAGAACAAAGTCCTGAATCACAGGATTGGCACACTGTCACTTTGCTCCACAGCACAGACGCCCACAGGAAGACTGGAGATATGTATATACTAAACAATAAAGAACAATTATTGCTGAGTAGTGGCAGCAGTGCTGGCGTTTATCTGAGTCATTTTGAGTGCTTTGAGTGCTTCATAGCACACAAAAAGCAAAGGTCTTTGCGCTAAATCCATGCATTCTTGCAGAATAAATGCAGCAAAGAGGCGCGTTTAGAATGTTTTCATCCTTCATCTCTATCAGTCTCCGTATTAGGCACTGAGGATTCCGTGTCAATAACAAATTGACAGATCTTTACATCTTGAGAGGAAAAGCAGGGTTCTAGACGCAAGGAAAATCAGATTTGGAGGAGGCTGGTGCACACGCCCAGTCTTCAGTTCACACCAACTCCGTTGTGCCAAGGCCCCTCCCTGGAGAGTGCACTGATGTCTGTCCTTCTCTTCTAGAGCCCACAATGATTGTCCTGCTCTACGTGACAAGTCTTGCCATCTGTGCGAGTGGACAACCTCGGGGCAATCAGGCCAAGGGAGAGAGCTACTCTCCAAGGTACATCTGCAGCATTCCCGGCTTACCGGGTCCCCCAGGCCCTCCTGGAGCAAATGGCTCCCCTGGGCCCCATGGTCGCATCGGCCTTCCTGGAAGGGATGGTAGAGATGGCAGGAAAGGAGAGAAAGGAGAAAAGGGCACGGCAGGTAAGGAACCATGAGGTTCTGCAAACACCCCCTCCACCCTTCCTCAGACTCCTCCCTTTGTTGCTTCTTCTCTGTGGAAACTGCCCCTTCAAGCAATCAATCCTCTGCTTCACGTTCCGTGATCTTAACAATGTCCTTTTCCCTGATCATGCTTCAAATGCTCTTTAGCTCTTTCCAGCCTTAGCTGGCTGCAGTGACAACTCTCTTGGGTGTACACTGTAACATTGGGAAGGTAAGAAACCTGAGCCTGGTTAAAGGCACTGCAGGAGAGGGACACAGATGGGCATGCACTGTGCATAACTGCTGGAGCTGGACTCCCAACAACTGATGCCCGATGGCCGGACAACAGCTGAAAGCGTGGAGGTTTTAATAAACAAAGAGATGGGCCAAAGCAGAGAAAGAATTGGGATTCAGAAACTCAGTTTCCCACCCTGCACAGAGCTAATGTTCTAAACAAGTATTCCTCAAGCTCTTCTCTATTATTGCATGCAGACAGCTAGAAGGACAGCGGTGTCACATAGCCAGCCTTTCCTCACGCGGCACTCTCCCACCTGTCCTGTTGCATCGCTCTCCGCGAGAGTACACTTGTCCTCTCGTCCTCCGTCATCTTCAGGCTTCCCATCTTACAGATAAGTCAGCCTGGGAAGCTTGCCAGACCCCCCAGTCCTTCAGAGAAAACCAAACTGAAATTCTCCAGAGGCTGTGTTAACTCCACAAGAGGCAGGAATTTGAAATCCATCTTTGAAAATGCTCTCTTTCGTGTACAAGTGAGACAAAAGACAAGAAGGGAAAAAATGCATAGATCTAAGAAATATACCTCTACCCGATCACCACACCTGATTTACTGGGGTTCTGAGAGATAGGGCCACAGTATATATCCCGATTATTGGCTAAGTGTCATTTCCAAATGCTCCATGCAGAACACATGGGGCAAACCGAGAGCTGTCAGATGTGTGAGCATTGTTCAATAATAAAGAACCTTATGTAAAGATTCAATGTCAGGTAAACTTTGAATTTGGAGTTTAAATGTAGTTGTTCCAAGGCAACTGTCTATAAGGTAGCTCATGTGACTATAAATTATCCCTGAGCCACGATTACAAATATTCTTACAATTCTATGGCACACAGATTATTGTTCTCTGTGACCGACCCTTGAAGCTTGCTGTGTCTGGAAGAAAGAAAGTAGTGGTTTATCACACAAGCGTTGGCACCAGAAAAACAGACTCAAATCTTGGCTCTTTCAGTTACTTTACTTAGCATCCTCGGGCAAATAGCGTCTTTGAGCCTCGTTTGAAAGTTGGCAACAGTAAGGGCCATTGTGAAGTTTAAGGGTAGTCATATATACAGAATGTCCTGTAGAATAACTGCTTGTGCTAAGTACTTGTAAATGTCACATATTGTTACTTATTAAATTGTGATGCACAGGCCAAAGATAAGTCTGTGGCCACTCAAAGTCACAGAGTAAACAAAAATGATTAATATAACCATAAGGTAGTTCCACTGCTATTTCAGATAGGATTTAATGTCCTTAAATGCTACAGTTTTAGCTCTATGAGGTTAGGGATAGTCCTGCATACATCAGTCTATTCATCCCTCTACGTATCTGTGCACTGTTTGCTCAGAAACATTTTTGTGTGCCTCTAGCTAGCAACTCTCATTTGTGGAGACTAGTTTTCAGACTCCACACTAACGCCATGTAGTGCTGCATAGTTGTCATGGTAGGGTGAAGTTTTAGGTATGGTGTTTGACAGCGTGTCGCCGGATATCAGTGGCACACCTTTCCCAGCTGTAGCAACCACAAATGGCTCTAGACCATTGGTTCTCATCCTGTGCATTGCAACTGCTTTGGAAATCAAGCGACCCTTTCACGGGGGTCTAATATCAGATATCATGCATATCAGATATTTGCATTATGATTCATAACAGTGGCAAAATTTTTAATTATGGAATAGCAACAAAAATAATTTTATGGCTGAGGGTCACCACAATGTGAGGAACTGTATTAAAAAGGGTTGCAGCATTAGGTAGGTCAAGAACCATAGCACCAATTCTAATTGTCCTTAATAAAAACTCAGAGTGAGGTATAGGGGTTAATGCTGAAGATCAGAGAAGCAGAGCAGCCAGCCGCTAGAGAGTTCTTACCTCTACCAATGCTCAGACCAAATGTGCAATCCTTTCCTCAGACTGCATCCTCTGTCTGCATCCTCAAACTGCATCTCCACCAAAACCTCAGACTGCACCGAGCTCCTGTCTCCTCCCGCCTTATATTCCTTTCTCCACACAGTCATATCATTCCTGTCTCCACCTCCCTAGTTCTGAGATTAAAGGTGTGTGATCCCAAGTACTGGGATCACCTTTGTGTGAGCTGTTTCTCTTCTAGACAGATTCAATTGCGTGTAGCCCAGAATGGGCTTGAACTAACAGAGATTCCTCTGCCTCTCTCTCCCGAGTCCTGGTATTAAAGGTGTGTGTCACCACTCCCTGGCCTCTAAGGGGCTTAGTTCTGCCCTCTGATCTTCAGGCAAGCTTTACTTGTTAGATCACAAACAAAATCTCACTACAGAGAACCACTGCTCTAGACATTGCACGCTGGCCCCGGGGACACAGCTGCTTGAGAACCTGTTCTAGTCACTGGAAACACTCGCATTTGTCAGGGAGTGAAGGGAAAGGACCATCTAAGTACAGCTTTGTAGTAGCTCCAGATACTGACAATGTGTTGGGAACTTGTTTATGTTAACATCCACCATTCTAATCTGCAGTAACCATAACATACAATAAAATAATGCTACAAATGAAACTATTGGGATTCAAAAAACAAAGAGACTTTTCCAACTGAAGATTATGTAAATCCAACAGACACACCTAAGTCTAAATATGGCTCAGAGAGGAAAGACAGACCTGTCATTGTGAAAGGATGCAGACATTACTCAGAAACCACATTTGGAAAGTGGCTGGCAAATGGGTTAAAGCCTGGGAAGTGCTGCCCAGTGCTCCCTCTCCAGTGACAGCACCAGGTCTTTTCATTCCTGCACCCTCCTTGGATACCATATTGCCTTCACCTCACCAAGTCCAAGCAAAACTAATTGTATTCTTCTTCCAACTCTGTTACCCTAAACTAGAAATGAAAAGATTATTACACCAAATTATAAATTCTCCGCTAAAACATATCTCACTGCTCTGTAGCAATCATCATAATATATTAATCACATTCAATTAAATCCAAATGCATGCTCATTCAAATATTTCTGGAACTATCCCACAAAGTGTTGTTGTTATATTTTTTGGTTGTGAGTCTAATCTGTAACAGTGGATCCATCTGTCAAGCCCTCAAGAAGCTCTTTTCATTCCAGTTTATTATAAAGATTTTAGTATGCATAAGTCGATCACACTGAGCCACTATCACATAAGGAAGGAAGGAAGGAAAGAAGGAAGGAAGGAAGACTAGACAGAAGATGCGTGGATGAAAGGAAGGATAAAATAATTCTAAAGAGAAAATCTAAGTAGATTTTTCTCTTTGAGGGAGAACTGAAAAGTAACTATATGGTCAAGCTTCAATGCGTCCACAGAGTTTAATCCTTAATGCATAATGAATTATTCTCCTGAGAGTATAATCTCCTAGTAGATGGGAAAATTCTCCATATAAAAAAAGAGGTCCTATATATTATTTTTATTATTATATATACTCCATGACTAGTATAGCTGACAATTTGGGGTATTAAATATGTATTACAATAGAAAATTTAAGCACTGAGGTTGTAAAGAATTCCTCATATTTATAATACATTTCAGTGAATGCAAATGGGAAGCCTAAGCCAGGAGGATCTCACTCCTTCTTCAGATTCACTGCCCCGTCCACAGCTGAAGTGGGTTCTTGTAGTAGGAAGGCTGCTTGTTTATTTCCTGGCCACCCAGATTCCTTAAATAATCACACAGAAACTTTATTAATTAAATTACTGATTGGCCTATTAGTTCTCTCTTATTATTGGCTATCTCTTATATATTTATTTAACCCATTTCTATTAATCTGTGCATCACCACATGGCAGTGGCTTACTGGCAAAGTCTCAACATGTCTTTCTCTGGTGGCAGCTCTATGGCTTCTCCCAACTCTGTCTTCTTCCCAGCATTCAGTTTAGTTTTCCCTGCCTAGCTCTACTCTTTTGCCCTATCAAAGGCCAAGATAATTTCTTTCTTAACCATTGGTGTTCACAGCATACAGTGGAGAATCCCACCACAGGCTCTAAGCCAAAAGGACCTTACCCCTTCATCAGATTCACTACCCAGCCCACAGCTGAAGTGGGTTCTATCTCAGACATGCTGAGTCACTGTTGACTGTGCCGCCCACTGAGTTGGCGTAGACTTATATCTAATGTCTCTGTATTACAAATGGAGCCCTTGAAGCCAGAAAGGGAGGAACTAACCTGAAATCTTATAAGCAGCATGATTTGAATTTGTAACAAAATCCTATGATTAAAATTTTTACTGACACACAAATGATTTTATTATTGTATTGAGGAACAATGGTGAAGATTAGTTTAAGCTACTGTTGAAGCCCAAATACAAATTTCAGACTTTGTAGTCTTTGACTCAAGAAAAACAAAAGAAAGTTTATGTTCCATTTCTACCCCCAGAGAACCAAGCAGTGTAGGAGCTCAGAAACTCCTGTCAGCTGTGTTCTGCTTCATCCAGTAGAGTTTTAACTTAACAGGACCCTCTGCATTAAGGGGATACAACTGTAGTGGATAAGAGTGCTGATTTTGTCTCACCAATAGCGGGGACGTTTGTTGACAATAACCTCCCTGCATCATGAATTGGTAAACAGCCTTTTCATGAGGATTAAAGCACTGTGCTTGACAGTTTCAGCGTAAAGCTTTAATTCTCCTAAACTTTACATTACCAAGATAGGCCTTTGTTCATTTTGTCAATTAACAGGGAAAAAGAATAGAGTTATCACATTTAACCTGAAGTATATACAGCACTCCAATAATTGATATCAACGTACCAGCAAGATAAATGGCATAGCTCAATAAGAGTCCCCGAGAAAAAGTCATGGTTACAAGCGAAAGCATGTTTTAACAGTACAGTTTCCTGAATGACAAAAAAATATACAACTGGAGACCCACTGTTTGGATACTTTGGATAGAAATACTATTGTCTCAGTACTATTTATGACATGGGTTTGATTGCAGAATTAAAACTTTTTATTATACTAATTATTACTGTTTTATAAAAGAAAAAAGTCACTTTTGCTGATGGCTTTTAATCCAGATCATTTTTTCCCTGTAGTTAGCCTGCAGATGTAAAGCTTTGGACATGCAGAAAATAATCCTATACAGTGGCTTAGACTTGGTTGGAATTCTTTCACATCCATTGTTTTTTCTATATGTAAGGGGACCCAGAGAGGTTAGGAGACAAGTCGAAAGTGAGACCTTAAGTGGCAGAGCCAGCAGCAAGGTAAGAGGCATTTAGACCGAGCGGAGAAAGACACCGTGAGGCTGGGAAAGCTTCGGGTCCTCCTAATCCTGATACATCGTCAAGTCCCTTGGCCTCCTCAGGACTCAGTTTCCTCCTGAAAAAGCAGGACTGTAGAGTCATGAAAGCAGTCAACATTTTTTAGTTATAGTAGCACATGGTGCCCCAACGTTCCAGGTTTACTTGAGGTTTACAGGATCAACACAATGCATTTCCCTAGAGGATGGGTGCTCAGGCTCCAGAGTTGGACAGGCAGCTGTGTAGATCACAGCTCCATCACTCAGTAGCTCTGTTCTCCTGATTCAGTTTCTTCATCTGCAATGAAGCTAATAATTCTTGGTTTTTAAGTTGTTGTGAGATTTAAATAAGTTAATGCATGAAAATAAAACATTTAAATAGATGATAAATAGTGAATTTGATTTTGATTAATTATTTTATTATTAACACTAACAGGGATAGAATAAGACAAAGACTAAGATGTCTCCAAAGCATCTGGTTCTGTCTCTTCTCGGTACTCACTCTGGGAAAAATACCAGCAAGCTTCCTGAAGTCTTTTCATAGTGACAAGTGCCTGGATATGGCTAATAAGCACCAGGTAATTTGTCTTCAAAATAATAGCTTATTAGTTTAATTAATCAGAGTCTAGTTGACATCTCAAATACTGGAGAAAAATCTATGTGAAGTTTTTCTATTTTCATTTTTAGTATATCAGTGATTTTTTTTTAAAAAGGCTTTTTAATTAGCAGGAAGCTATTGATAGTCAGCCGAAAAGATATGATTAGGGCATGTAGGCATGTTGTTTGTGACTCTCTAGAAGAACTATTGATTTATCTATTAACTGTTTTTAAAGGTCTAAAAGGTAAAACTGGACCCCTGGGCCTTGCTGGTGAAAAAGGAGACCAAGGAGAGACTGGGAAGAAAGGACCCATGGGACCAGAGGGTGAGAAAGGAGAAGTCGGCCCAGCAGGGCCTCCTGGGCCAAAGGGAGACCGAGGAGATCAAGGGGACCCAGGGCTGCCTGGAGTATGCAGATGTGGAAGCATTGTGCTTAAATCGGCCTTTTCAGTTGGCATCACAACCAGCTACCCAGAAGAAAGGATCCCCATCATATTTAACAAGGTCCTCTTCAATGAGGGGGAACACTACAACCCTGCCACGGGGAAGTTCATTTGTGCTTTCCCAGGGATCTATTACTTTTCTTACGATATCACTTTGGCCAATAAGCATCTAGCAATTGGGCTGGTACACAATGGGCAGTACCGAATAAGGACCTTTGATGCCAACACAGGGAACCATGACGTGGCTTCAGGGTCCACAGTCATCTACCTGCAGCCAGAAGATGAGGTCTGGCTGGAGATCTTCTTCAATGACCAGAACGGCCTCTTCTCAGACCCAGGCTGGGCAGACAGCTTATTCTCTGGATTTCTCCTCTATGTTGACACAGATTACCTAGATTCTTTATCAGAAGATGATGAACTGTGACCCGGACTACAGACCTGACTGTGGTAATATGAATACCACAGTGGCTTACATTTTGAGTTAATCTGGGGGTGCTGGAAGGTGGAGCAAGGGACAAAAGGATTCAAAAACTCCTTTTACAGACAGCTCCGGCAGAATTTATCAAACTAAGACAAACCACCGACCAGCTGAAATCACAACAAAATGAACGATATAAAATAACCCCAGACATGAACCCCTTGAAAGTAATGATGGCAAATATTTAAGAATTTAAAGATAATATTAACAAATTTGAATGCCCTTGGAGATCCAACCAGCTGGTAGTGACACTGCCTCATTAAACATTCATAAAACTCATAAAATTTTGTTCGTTATTCAAGATAACCATAACATTATAGACGAATTCTTTGACAATTCTTAAGAGTCAAAGAAAAGTAAGAGATGCTAAGAATTTTCTAACAAATTTAAAACGGAGTGATAAGTCTCTTTATTTCTTTATGATTTTTTATGTACACTCACCAACTCTGTGTGTGTATGCATGCATGTGTGTGCACGTGCATGTGAGTGTGTGTATATGTGTGTATATGTGTGTGTGCATGCGTTCGTGTGCATCCGTGTGTGTGCGCGCGCATGCGTGCACATGCCTGCATGTGTGTATAAGCCATAAGACAACATCAGCTGTCATTCCTCAATCACCTTCCACTTTTTCTTTGAGCCAGAGAGTTCACTGAACCTGGAGCTCACTTAATCTGGGTAGCCTGGCTGGTTAGTGAGCCCCAAAGACTCTCTGTTCTCATCTCTCCAGCTCAAGGATTACAAGCACATGCCACCACACCTGGCTTCTTTTTACATGGGTTCTGAGGGCTCAAACTCAGGCCCTCAGGCTTACAAAGCATGCACTTTACTGACTATTATCAAGGCAGCCCTCGGCAGCTCTTTATTGAGACTGTGTGGAGGGGACACTAAGTTCAGGACAGACACTAAGTGCTGATCAGACCCGAGGGATCAGGGACAGTTACTGCCTTATTTCCGGCAGGCTAGCGTGTGGTGAGCACTCTGCCCCTGTTGTATGTTATGAGCACCATAGCAAACGGACTGATTCAATGCTACGGATGCACAGGACCCAATGACTTCTGAGGTTGGGAGCCAAAGGCGTCACACACAGGAAGACTCTAAATAGAAATATGGTATGTTCTATGGGTACAACTGATGCAGAGGAAAGAAAGGATCTGCCTCTGCACTCTCCTTGTCCCACCTAACATGCCATTGTTATTTCAGTTGAGAATGGGTGAGAAATAGGGGAAGCCTGAGAAGGGAAAGAGGAGTAATGACCGGAGAGAGATAGGCATTAACCCAATGCTTTAACCTAAGTACAAAACGGGTTTCTTCAGACTACCCAGGTTTAGAATGCAGCAAACACACACGTCCCCAGACTTATGAATGAGCCAGAGTGGAGAATGGACAGGGAGGAGGGAGGCTGAGCGTCAGAACAAACTGGTAGTCTTCCAAGCCTCTCACTTCCTTGTTGGCACTTGCTGTCCACTGAGATTCCAGGCTCAATCTCAGCCCTGGTTCTGTCTTGTGTACCACTCCTTAGGTCTACAGTAATGATATACTCTTTGCTTTCCCTCCCTATGTTTTCCATGCATCCTTCTCCCTGCTCATTAGGTATTTTAGTCGCTATACATGAAGCACCATACTGTGGTCTGTGACAATGAGAGAACCCCAAAGTGAACGTAGTCTCGTCTCAAGCATCAGATTCCTAAGAAGAGAAGACATTACATGCACATCCACACACCCATGCACAAGTCCCTGTGCTCTGGACACGGGCATGCTAAAATATGTGAAGTGTTCCATGTTTATTTCCAAGTTCTGAGGTGATAGAAGAGAGCGGAAGAAATTTTTGCCCAGCATATCTTAAATGACAAAAGGATTTGGAGTGGCCCACATGGGGAATAATCACACAGACTTGTAGCAATGTGGATGGATAAAATGAGAACTGAGGTCAGGAAGAGAAATCAGTGGATCAGTCCCAGGATGGGTACTGTATTTATGGAAGAGGTATCAAAGTGGGGCACTAGCTTCATCAAAGGTGACGTGATGATCACATGACCTGTGTGTATGAAGTCAGTTTTCTACTCCTACCTTGAGTCCATTGTATTCTGCCTGCTGAAATCTGTCTACTTCTTTCTCTCCTGAGTTAATTCATAGGCCCGAGGGCTAACAGCATCAAGAATAGACAAGAAGAAGAAGGAGGAGGAGGAGGAGGAGGAAGAGGAGGAGGAGGAAGAGGAAGAAGAAGAAGAAGAAGAAGAAGAAGAAGAAGAAGAAGAAGAAGAAACGGTTAGTTTGAGATAGTCACTGGTCCGTAGATAACAGCCACTGCTAGAAACCCAGGAAATATAGTGTACAAACCAGCCAACAGAAATAGGCAGGAAGGATTCTCCAGTGTCACAATCAGCGTGCAGTACTTATACAGAAATAGGCAATAAAACATAGCTTACTTGATAGCAGATGAACTTGATGGAGAAATCGAAATGGAGATACTATGCAGACTGTCTTGACCCACAGGTTGTTATATAGTTAAAACTTTAATCTGGCTGTGGTCTACTGATGCAGCTTTGAGCAAGGTCTTGTTAAACAGCTGAAGATAAAGTTGAACACCTGAGTCACTACTTCCCAAGTGTTGCAATTACAGCATGCAGCACCCTGCCCAGCGCAGGTGGCACAGGGGATAAACCCAGGGCTTCGTGTATGCCGGGCAAGCATTCTACCCGCTAAGCATAGTCCCACCCTAGCGAAGCATTTTTTCAACCTTGTCTTTTAAGCGGTTCTTCATTACAGAATCTATTTCAAGTAGATTTTTAAAGTAGTTTTCCTTCATTGGTCTTCTGCCCAAGATGAATTTATTTTTAAATTATCAGCAGGGTGATGATGAGGGTTAGACATCCGCTGGGGGAAATGAAAAGCAGATTTCATATTAAAATGATAAAATAAAAAAAAACTTTCAGGAAATACTTTTGTCTTTTAGTCCTTAAAAAACTCTTGGGCATCATTTTTCTACATCTGTGGATATTTTTGTAAAGAAGGAGAAGACTGGCTTGTTTCTAAAAACAATCCATGGCTCATTCCTATCATTCTTGGTAAGGATACCTTGTAATGAGAACGTATCAAGACACATTGCTACTTTATATACTTCCTCATTATCAAGACACATTGCTACTTTATATACTTCCTCATTCTAGAATGTAATGAGCCCTCAGCAGACATTGGATCTGTCAGCAACTGACCTTGGACATCGCTGGCTTCAGATGTGTAAGAAATAAATCTGGTTGTTAATAGGTACTTTGTTTGGGGTCTTTGTTAGAGAAGCCCCGTTGGACTAAGACAGTCCTGACAGCAACTATGCCCTCATTGTACAAATGGAGAAACAAGGGGACTGAGAGGATCAGAAATATGTGGAATAAATCATATGTGCAGAGTAAGCCCAGGTTAATCATGTGGCCTTTGATGACACCGCAGGCCATGGACATCAACATGGCCCCTGTCTGGGGTAGGAGCAGGGACCTGCACATAGTCCTTAGCACAGACAGGCACAGATGTTGCCATAGCCTACAGATGTTCAGGATCTAGGGCATATCCTGTGACCATGGAAGTGTCTAAGGGCCATGCTACCGCCGAGGTCATGCCGATCTGGATGGCCTGCACTGCCACATGGGGTCATGTTGTCATCTGGGCCCCTACTGCTGCCTCGGACCGTGTCTGGGTTCATGGCCAAGCAGTAAACAGGGTCTGAGCTGCTGTCCATAGCTCCTGTTACCACCAAGGGCTGTGTGATGCCAAGAGTCTGAACAGTCACCTGAGACCACGTTGGTGTCTCAGGGCCTTGCTGCCACCAGGGCCATACTGATTTGGGTGGCCTATACTGCCACCAGGGCCATGTTAATGTCCAGGTCAGAGCTGAATGTGGGCCAAGGGTCATGTCTGGATCTGTGTTCCTGCTACAGCTGAGGTCTGCAGTGATGTCCACGGCCCATGTTGCCACAGGGGGTCATAACAACCATGTTATGTTGAAATCTGAGGGCCATGCAGAACCAGTACCACCCCCTCACTGGCTCTGGATCTGGCCCTGCCTCTCACTGGACTGCAGGAGGAGAGCTGGCCCTGCCCTCAAGGGAGAGCTGCTCCCCAGCACTCAAGGAGAGGTGGCCCCAGCCCTCACCACAGGTATGGGAAAGCTGGCAAGGGCCTACGATAGCTGGTTCTGCCCCTCGCCTGAGGTGGGTGGTCCCAGCGGCCCAGACTGACCAGTTCAGCTACCACCCAGACCCACATCCTAGGCCTTGGGTTAGCTCACCCTAACATCTAACCCGTCTGTGGCCCGCTGAAGCACCTGAAGGGACGGGTCCTATAGAATGAGAGCTGCAGGTGCCCCATGATTCGGGGCAGCAGCAGGCTATCCGAGAGGAGTTTTGGTGAGGGTCTAGTGATGGTGTGCCTGAGGCCTTGAACCAAACCAATAACTCATAGCAATGAACATTTTTTGGGTGGGGCTGATTGGACAAAGGGTATGCTGTGTGTCACACTGCAGTACCTAATGTCACTAAGATGAATTAAGAGGTGTTGAAAAAATAGAGGAACAAGGTAGGGTTTCGTTTGTTTGTTGTTTGTTTGTTTTGTTTATTTTTAATTGATTTGGGGGGTTCTTTGGGAGAAGATGATGAAGGGATGAGGGGAGGATATGGAGGAACTGGGAGGTGATTCCCAAAGAATCAAGAGAGTATTTTTAAAAATCTCTTTATAGAATCAGAAGGACCAGTAAATTCAGTTTGTTCCTTGGAGAACATAACACCAGCACTGAAGAACCAGCCTAGGTCAGGAACTACCATGCTGGCTGGCCAGAAAAAGCAAACAACTGCCTACAGATACCAACTGTAACCACTTACTGAATGTACCCTTTGTAGATGGTGTCATACTGGGTGTTTGTAATATATACCTCATTTTATGAGGGGGGGGGATGTTAGTGACATATGTTCTAACTCCTAGAGAAAACTGAGTACCACACCCACATCCATCATTAAAAGAGGGAAAATGACAAGGACACATTAGGCAGTTGGTGCCTGAGAATGCATGAGGTCAACGTCCCTTGAGGCAGCATCCCAACATCTCTGACTTCTTTTTTTTTTTATTTTGTTAGTTGTTGAGAAAAAGAATTCCGCCTCCTCCCCATTTCCCATTTCCCTCTCCCTCCTCCCACACATTGCCCCCTCCCCTCACTCCCCTCCCCCTCTCCCCCTCCCCCCCCTCCATTCCCTCTCCCTCTTGAGAATGAAGAGC